CCATTAACCAAACGCTTTTCACCTGCCTCAACATCTCTCATCTGTTTACACTCCGATTGATGCACATAAGCAAACAGACAGTGCAATTCTACACTTTTACCTATTTGCCACCATACCTTATTCTTCTCCTATAATGGATCGAGTGTCCCCGAGCACCTAAGCTTTGCAGGTGCATCGCACATCTCACTATCTGCACGCCGAGTGATGCATGTAAGTAAATAGTGCAATTCTAACGTTACACTTATTTACCATCTTACTTTATATTTTGTTCCTCTCTTTTAATCCGTAACATAGCGCGTTCCATGGCACAAACGTCACGCGCCTGCCACAAATGCTCTCACTGTGTACAGCCACGGGACACCGCGATTGATGCCCATGATTTTTAATATTAAGTTATCTGACTTTGGCTGTGGCATGTTCTGTGACAGCTGCGTCTAGATCGGACTGGTGAATTGTCATCTGGGGCAGGCATGAGTAGCAGCGTTTTCTGTATGGTCACGGGCATGCCAACTGCTTTCAATTGAAAGTAGCTAAAACTGGTAGCTAAATGTCACTAGATGACCACATAATGGCAAATTCACTGATCTATATAAAGATGAATGTAGATCAGTGGGCAAGATGAGAACTTAGATAAGGTTTGTCCAAGAAGTTGCTATATTTGTCCCTAAACTTTTGAAAAAAGTCTCAAAAGGGGCGGAGGAGTCACTAAATCTAGCTACAAAGTAGCTAAATTGGCAACACTGCTCCAAGATTTTTTAGTTGGCGGTGCTAAGGAGGGGCTTAACAGTTCAGAAGGGGAGCTAAAAAACAAATTAAATTGAGTTAAAGTAATGAACGCCTATAAGCTTCAGCTATATAAATAGCATATACACCTTGTGTTTTTTATATACAGCAGCTTCGAAAAAGGCAAATTTAAAATTTTTTCTGTGCTATTAAACTTCTCATATGCCACTGTTATTAGTAATATAACTTCTAATGCCAACTGCCAAATATGACACTTACAAATTAATACAATTTATGTACGCGCATAGAAAAGAAAGTAGGGATTTTTTTTTTCATTGTTTTATTTATTTATTTATGAAATGCAGGAACAAAGGAAACAAAGTTTCCTTACTTTAGCAAAGGAAAACCAGTCTCCTCTTGGTTTATATCGAAATCCTCTGACATTTTTCTTTACAAATCCTAATTTTGTACTTCTAATTCGTGACAGGCGTTTTGTTTTGATTTGTCTCCGCTTTCGTCACTAATCACGCAACGTCGACGTCTTACATCATCCGCCGGAACGGCTTCCACGTACGACAGTCAGCAGAAGTGAGAAAAAAGTGTTTTTATTTATCTTACAAAAATGCATGGATTCGCTACAGGAGGCCTTTATTCACCCCCCGGAGCCGTGTGAGGGACGTTTTATTACGGATGCGCGCATTTTATTTCACGTCTTCTGAACTGTTGACAACCAACACCCGCTTACCCCCATTGAAAGGC